ATTATTATTATTATTATTATTATTATTATTATTATTATTATTATTATTATTAATAATAATAATAATAATAATAGTTTCTTCCCCAAACCCCCAAAACTTTAACCTTAGACTGTCTACTATTGACCTCACCCCTTTCCTAAGAGGTCTGTGGGGGCGTGCATAAGCGCACCAACGTACCTACCGTCCCTGTCCTATTGTTTCTTTTATTTTTCTTACATATACCCTTTTAATGTATTAATAACTATGTATATACTTATACCTATTATCTTGTAAGCGATTGACAAATCAAAAACTAACTAAATAAATAAATGAAAATAATACTAGAGGTTTAGATGTAAGTGCACCCCAAATAAAACACTATTAGTACATTCAGAAAACTTTATTTTTCAGTTCTTCTAGAAAGCCCAGTTATATTCCTTAATCTTGAAAGTAGGGGGATGAAGGTTTGTATCTTCACTTGTGACTAATATACTTGGATTGGATTAATGTATTTGGAAAGTGGACATTTAGATAGAACTAATTTAATTTCATTAATTGCAGTCATGTATTTAATAAGTATCTTTTGTCACATGAAATATATTATTGGGTTTTGGAGACAATCTACTGGATCACCTAAGGCTTTGAGAAAAGTACAAGTTGTGTACTCTGCCTTAACATCTGAATCTTCCTATTTCCTTAAAGGTTTTTTTTTTTTTCAAATTTCCTATGTGACGCTGATCTGTTTCCTTGAATCAGCTCTCAACTCACCTTGTCCTTCAACTTTAGATTAGCCCCTTTTTCCTGCAAGAGCTTCACAACAGCTAGGTGTCCACCACGGCAGGCCCAGTGCATAGCTGTGGAATCCAACTGTCAACAAAAACCATGACTTGTCAGGAGACCACTGTTCCGGTTTCCTTCCAAGGCTGTCTCCAGTATTCTTTGGGGTCCCCTTTCTGATTCCAAATAATTATAACTCTCAGCCCCCCCCCCAAAAAAAACCACCAAATAGTTCTGAGCACAATATTGTACCCAGAATATTCCATATACTGTACATTTCCACTGTGCTTTAGAGGAATTTGGTGGCAATAATGCATATATAGCCCATGCAGAGGGAGGGTGGCAATCTCAGCAGACACGGAGAAGTATCTTACGCGATCTCTGAAGTCAATAGTGGCACCTTGGTCCAAAAGCTTCTCTACAATTTCTGTGTGCCCTTCCAGGGAGGCACGGTGCAAAGCTGTCCTGTGGAACTAAATGAGGGACAGAATTAGTCTTCTGTAAATGGTAGGCTAAAAAGAGGAAAGGCTATGTCCAAAGGTGATTTTCTGACATTCACGGGCCCTTTCCTTTTTAAAAATCCTTGCCAGCTCCAGGTTTCCCGTAGTTGCTCATAACAAATCAATATGCGTGACTCCTCCGTATGCTGTTTTAAATCAAATTTCACCCCCCCTCATATTTTTATAGGAATATATTGAAAAGAGCAGATGTGCTATTGGAATGACATTTCTATTAATAAAGGAGAATGTTTGTAGCTCAAGGTTGAAACGAGGAGTCCTCCTTGGTGCTCTTTGAGCTTGCTTGGTTTCTTGCAGATGTTTCGTTACCCAAACTAGGTAACATTGTCAGTGCTCTATTTCTATTTTCCACTTCAATTTTACAAATATTTGTACTCTTCTGGTGGACATGAGCAAGCATACAGGTAGTCCTCAACTTATAACAGTTCATTTAGTGACCATTTGAAGTTATAACAGCTGAAAAAAGTGATTTATGACCATTTTTCACACTTATGACCATTGCAGTATCCCTAAGGCCAGATAATCAAAATTTAGACACTTGGCAATTGATTCATACTTACGACAGTTGCAGTGTTTCAGAGTCATATGATCACCTTTTGCATTTTTCTGACAAGCAAAAGTCAATGGAGAAGCTAGATTCACTTAACACTTACGTTACTAACTTAACTGCAGTGATTCACTTAACAACTGTGGCAACAAAGTTTGCAAAATGGGGCAACATTCACTTAACAACTGTCTTGCTTAGCAACAGAAATTTTGTGTTCAATTGTGGTTGTATGTCGAGGACTAACTGTACTTGAAATCAGAGATGTTAAATCCAGGAGCAATCTACAAGCTATTAATCTGATCCTCTCTGGCTATCTTGGGATATGGCTTTTTTTTTTTTCCCAAAAGAAAGAAAATAACAAATTTGGGGCAACTTATTCCAATGTTAACATTACTTTTATTAGTGAACAAGAGCCTTTTCTTCCCTTGGAGTTTGTATCAATTTAAAACAGATTGTGTCCAAAAAACAGAAACAGCAAAGAACACTCTATGCCAGGGCTGTCCAACCTTGGCAACTTTAAGACTTGTGGACTTCAACTCCCAGAATTCCTCAGCCAGCTTTGCCAAGGTTGGACAGCCCTGCTCTATGCCAAACGTTTTCCTGCTCAATCAACAAATATTTGAATATATTCAGGGGTGGGCTGCTGGGGTTTCGCAGGGGTTTAGGAGAGCCCCTAGGTAAGATTCTGTGCAGTTCAGAGAACTCCCAAATCCCACTCCTGGCTGGCCCCACCCACCCTGCCCTGCCCCTCCCAGGAGTCACGTGGCCCGTTTTGAATGCAGACAAGTGCAGGACGTGCGTAGATACTTGGGGAGAGCTAAAAACGGGCTTCCCAGAAGTTCAGGAAGGCCGGAAATAGGCCCGTTTCCGGCTTCCAGAGAGCCTCCGGAGCCCAGGGAGGCCATTTTCGCCCTCTTGGAGGCTCGAGGAAAGCCTCCGGATCCCAGGGAGGGCAAAAACGCCCCCTCTGCCATAGTGCTGGAAGCTGACTAGGCCATGCCTATCATGGCCACGCCCACCCAGCAACCAGGCAGAGAACCCTTTGCTAAAATTTTTGAAGCCCACCCCTACATATATATCTTTATGGAAAGTGAAAAATAGTCATGAGGAAAAAGATACTTTTGTGGCCTTACTTCATCGCAGGTGTTTGGGGAACCTCCATCTACCAGGAACTTCTCCACTACTTGTATCCTGCCCTGCACAGCAGCTTTCAAAAAATCCTCCACTGCCACAGGTCCCGTCTGTAAGCATTTTTTAAAACAGAAGGATGACAATATTTTAACCTCTATATGAAAAGTTGCATGAAAAATATTTTACAGGAAAAAGTAAATATGAACCCCATCAAGACAATGTGTACTGGATTTTAAAAAAAACCTCTCAGTCTCCTAGTTTCTAGCCTGATGCTTTAACCACTACCCCAAACTGGCTCTTGGAAGATACTAATGGACTTTTATTTTAAAATCCTCAACAGTAGTAATGTTGGCTCTGGAATTCTGGCCAATAAAAATTCATATCTATGTATCGCCTTGAACCCATGCAAATAAATTTGATAATGCTCTCCCTCCCTCTCTCTCTCTCTCTCTCTCTCTCTCTCTCTCTCTCTCTCTCTCTCAACAGCCAGTTTGTAGAAGATTGTTCTCTGCCATTTTGCTCTGCTTCTCAAGATCTGGTCAGAATAAATATTGATCTTTCTCCCTTTTTCTCCAGTGTTTTCTTTTTCTCTTCTCCTACAATTTCCTCTGGTTCAGGCTCTGGTTTCTCCTCTTCCTTCTTTTTTGCTTTTTTGTGTAGTTTGAAGAGGTATTCGGTGCCACCAACTTCAAGGATCTCCTTTCTTAGGTCGACAGAACTCTTCCGCACCTTTTCTTGTCCCTATAGGAAGAGAAGCATATACAAAAACTCTTATGGTTTTCAAAAATTGTCTAAGAACTATTAGTTGTCTGATTTTCTAAGTAATGTCATGGAACAGTCTTTGGCCTGTTACATCAGCCTTTCCTTCCCGGTAAGGCAGGGAAGGTATGTTGCGGACCTTGTCAACCAAAGAATTCCAAAAGGTACGGTCCAGAAAGAGAGTCTTCTTGCCATTACCCCCAACCTGTGTGTTCTGACCCAATCCTTGTTCCAAGGAAACAAACACGAAACAGAGGTAACAGCAAAACCTTTTAATGATTCTTTACGAATTCCGTTCCTTCACGGTTAAAAGGCTGTTTCAAACTAATTGTCTCTGATAAGAATGAACCTTGCCAAGGTTGTGCAAGGCTGCCAAGAATACTAGATAAAGTTACTGAGAAATATTTCAAACACAAAGAGTCTCCAAACACCAACCAAGATACTCCGAATGTCCACTAGGCTTGAGTACTAAAACTTCTTTGCTTCCGGTTTCACAGCTGGCTTTTATCTCTTAAGGGAGGGACCATTACCTTACAGCCTTACTCCCGAGTCACCCATGCTGCTGCAGCTGCTCTTTCCTACGAGCAGCCCTGTGTGCATGCGCACTGGGCACAGGCTCCTCAGGGACCTCTTCCTCACTGCTGCCAGCCTCCACAATCTCAGAAGGCAGCATTCCACTCCCTGATGGTCCTGGCCCCATCCCTTCATCACACGCAGGCCCCTCATCTGAGTCCTCACTTTCTGAGACCTCAGCCATCCTCACCTGCTGCCGCCAAACCACAAAAGTGAGGTGGGCCACCATTCTCGTGGCCTTCAGGAAAGGCATGAAAGCACAACTCTATCCCCTTGCTTGGGACGCACCAAAAAGCATGAAGACATGAGGCTGATTAATGCCCTGAAAACCTCCCCCTCCCTTTTAATTAAGTTTAACAATTGCCTCTTTTAAATATTATATAATGGTTGTATGCTTGTAATATTTTATTATTATTTTATTTTATGAGACTGCCCAGAGTCTCTTAGTGGGAGAGATGGGTCATTCTTAAATATAACAAATAAAAGTAAATACATAAATATAGCAATGTTTAATTCTTTATTCCTCCACTTTCTTAGTATCTGCATAGCAAATGGATATTTTTATTAAAATGTCTATAGAAACTAACAATAGATTTTCCATTCTAAAAGATTTAACAAGTTATACTAGTAATTTAGGGGTTTCAGAAGTTGAAAATGCTGCTGATCCAACCTTGTTAACTAATGTTGTAACTATAAATATTGCGATTGAGTTACACTGGTACAGAATATTTGTCTCTTAACACAGAGTATGTTAAGTTAATCCAAAGTCAATGATCACTATTTCCATTCAATTTTTCCATATCATCATCCTTTTCCTAATTTTTAAAGTTGAGTTTCCCAATATAGCATGGGAAAAAGGATCAAATCATTTTTTATTAAACATTCTATTTCATTTTTAGCTGACTTAATTGTTTCCAGGTTTACTAGTTTTAGTATATTTAGCATATAAGTTGTCCAAATGAACAATTAACACCATCTATTGGCTTTCAGTACTTAGTATCTGATAATAAGCAAGCATTATAATATAACTCCAGATTCAGAAAACCAATTCCTTTCTTATTAATTGGTAATTGCATTTTCTATGAAAATATTCTTGGAATCTAACAACCTCACAGTAAGTTTCTAAAGAAAACAATATTTTCTGAAAGTATTTTCCAGAAATATGAACTGGAATTCCTCTCAGAATATAAATTAATTTGGGAATAATATTTTGAGAGCATTCACTTTTCTCCAAAGTATAAGGATTAATGAATCACTCCCGTCTATCAATATCTGAAGAAACCTGTATTGTATTTATATTACATGTTACAAATCAAGTTATATCCTTTATAACTTGATATTTAATGGACATACATACCCGGATACTTTATGGATTCAGCACAAATATAGAATTGATGCTCCTTAAATAAATGGGTAACCAAATGGAAGTATCCTGCTATTTTACTAAAGACATCCATTTGTGCGTCAATTGTGAAATAGTACCGTGTAGTTTAGAAATAAACGAAATATTTTCATTTGCAACCAATTTGTGTTCAACTGAGTTATGTTACCACCCTTGGAGTGGTAAAAAGCTAGTGACTAATACACAGAGAATGTTTTACCCAATAAAATATGCTCTGGGTGTGGGTTTTGTTGGTAGAATAGGTAAAATAGGATCTAAGAGTCCCACTCACCTTAAGATTTGCAACGTCCTTGTTAATAAGTCCATGTTTTTTCTTTTCCAGATGTGGAATATCCAACTGGACCACTTCTGGTGGCATTGCAGAGGAGTGTTTTTTCTGGGTTAAAAAAATGGAGAAAGTGTCCAAGCCTGAGGCATCTGCTCTCTGCTTTTTTGTTTCTTTCTTTCTAATTTATGGTGCATTCTATTTTTGAGGGTTTTATTAGATACATCCAAATTCTTTTTCTTCTAAATAAGTTTATTAATGTTTACAAATACAAAGCTAAAAAGAATTAAGAAAAATATAAAAAAGTAAAGAAATAATAATCTCTTGCTACTCCCAGGATAACCTGATAATTATCTTGAAACGTAATTTTTACGACTAAGATATCCAAATCCAATGCAAGAATGTGGTTGTCTCTCTTAATAACTAGAGTTTGGGATTATTTTGGTTTTTTTGGGGGTGACCTTGATATACTGTAATCTGATAAAGCAGCAACATATTTCATTCCCGCTTTTTAATCATAACATTAAAACTTGAGGTCAAAACATGGCTTCCCCTTTAAATCTGCTTCCTGAACCAATTGACAAAACTCTCTGATAAAACAGCTATGGCTGGCAAGAATATTTTGCTTAACTTATGCCAACATCTTTCATCCATAGTTTAGTATTCCAGTAAGCTTCTAGGCCCCATCTTTTACATCTACTTTCACTGCCTGAATCCCAAGTAACCAGCCTTCTTTGGCTTTAGATACTCACTTGTTGCTGTTCATCTTCCAGTTTCAGCTTCGCTTCAATCAGCTCCGTTGCCCATTTTATCTTGTCGTCCATATCCATCTTTGTTTGTCCTGGAAATGTGAATATTCTCCCCTACTCCTCAGATCCTAACTCAACTTCCCAATCTTTTATACTGTGTACTCTCTGACATCTCCTCTTGCAGTCACTGATATGTCCTGCCCCTGGGTGCCTTTGTCATGAGCTCAGTCTGTCAAACTCTCTTCCTTTTCACAAATCACGTATCTAGTGATCCTTTAATAGTTACACATCTCTGGCCAATCAGGAAGTGAACACAGAATTCCCTGAACTACAGAGGGATATGAGATTTTGGCAGAATTCCTTTAGTCCCATATAGGTGATTGGGCTTCCCTAGTTAGATTGTGGGTGGAGTTTATAGCTCCATGTCTGGGTAGAATTCTCTGTAACTATTTATGAATTATTATGATGCTTGGTAGAACAATCTAATATAGAATCATAGATATGATCCTAACTTGGTGCCCTCCAGATGTGTTGGGTTACATAGCCTGAGCATACTAGTTGACAACAGTAGATTTATAATCTGACACATCTGAAGAATACCAAATTAGGAAGTTCCCTATTTATTTTAAAATGCTACCTGCTATGGGAAAGTGCTACATATCAGCCCATGGGGTTTGCCAGAAAGATTTGCCAACCTGCCAGGCATCTAACTTAGTCACAAAGCCTGGAATAGTGAGCATGGAATACTATGATGAACCAGGGGCAGATGAGATGACATTAGGAAGAATTGAGATGAGAACTATTTATAGCGGACATAGTCTCTGTGTCCCTCTCCCCTTTAAATTATGATAGCAGTGTTGCTCAACTAATGGGATGTTCCTGCATGCACAAAATGTAAATCCTTTCCTTAATAATAATTCAGAATGTATTTGGGCAACTTTCTTTCCAACAACAGAAGTTTGCTTACATAGGAATGCAGGACAGAATGAGCGACTGGGAAGGGAACAGGCTGATTGACCAAACATATCTTGGGCCATTTTACAACAAGACTTGAATTTGCTTAGCATCCTTTTTCTACTATCCCCGTTTCCTGAGACAAAAGAATGGTTCCAACCACAATCAGGCTATATTTCCTAATTCCTGCCTGCATGATAAAAACAAGACCATATACTGCATATATATTTTTATAAGTGGATTAAATATGTGGTAACTCTTTCAGTTTCAGAGAATGAACTTATCATCCCTTAAATTCTTTATAACCAGGTATTCCTTAAAAATAGAAGTTTAAAGTGTTGAAAATGTAACTTTTAAAGTTAATATGAATCAGAGGCAAAGCAACTCTGCTACTAATTATGTTGTTGACAATTCATGGGCACAAGTTTTGCAAAAGTGCAAAATGTCTGTACAAGTTTTGACACATCCAAATATTAACAACTGATGTGAGCTTCTAGGGTCCTGCAGTTATGGGTCTATATAAAATTGCCATATTAAGAATGCTGGGTTGCATCATATAAGTTGGTACATGTTTGATTATCAATCAGCTAATTTGACTTATGAAAAATGAACAAATTGATTTGTAATTTAGAGCTCATTCTTTGTTATCCCCTTATTTGTACTTAGTAGTGTACTGTACAAAATGAGTCATTAACATATATTATTAATTTTGACATGAAAAAATGGAACTAAATCTTCACTGAAACAGGCACATGGATAGTTGGAAAAAGATTTTATTGATAAATTACACTGGGATCCATATACACAATCCAGTCTGCACGTACCACACCTTATCTGGATCAGCGGTTATCCATAGAACTAGGATGAGCTGACTTGTAGAACAGTCATCCTTGATACCAACCTCAGTATAAGCAACAGCCTAGATATGGAAGAATTAGCCCTGGCCATTGATTTATTTATTTGGGGCCTGAGGCAGTAGTCTCTCATGTGAGAGACACTTTGGTCTCATGCTTTCTCTAAAAGCTTTTCAGTACTCAAATGGGAGCTACACTGAGTCCCTGAAAAGAACGAGACTCACAATCCATCATTTCAGGCTTACAGTCCCAATGTGGGCAACTCCAACTGGACTAGAATTGAAGGGAAAGGAAGGAGACATTGTTTCGGTGCCAGCCGAACCTAGAAATGGGTGAGGTAACTAATTCTTTGGAGCTTGGGGAAGGTAAAAATCTAGCCCAGATAGTCATGAGAAGCAAACCACTGGGAGAAACAGAAACCACTTTGAATATTGCACATCCGTACTACTGCCTAGGTTGCTGACTGTGTCCTGCAGCGAGACAGCATGTGCAACCCTTCAAAGGCTTTGGACTCTGCCAGTGTGCTTTTAAATGCACTATCTGTTTCTCTAGATGCATAGAACAGACACCTGTTCACACAAGTTTCTGCTCAGTCTCTTGGTCAAACTGGGAGTCACAACAACTATCTCTAGCTCAGTTCCTTGGTACAGAGGGCTGATTGACAATTACTTGAATTACAAAGTCTTTCTGGATTTTAGTCTCTTGCAGGCGGGTCCTATCTGTCAGCAACTTGCCAGAAAAAAACCAACGTTGCCATGCAGGCTCCAGTCCTTCCTGGGCGTAGAGTTGCTTCTTAAGTTGTCCAATTGTGTCCGTCATGCTGGCATTCAGACGTAGATCCTTGCCAGATGAGAGGCGCACTTTCAGTGGGAATTCACGGCGAGTATTGGGTGCCGGCTCTGGAGGTTCTGCACCCTCCTCTTCACTCCACTCCATAATCAAGTTAATAGGTGGTGCCAGGCAGTATACAGGAAGTTGGTATCGGTTACCCAATTCATCATAGCACTCAGTAAGTGAGCCTGTAGAGGAATGAATACACCATTAGAGGGCGTCAGAAGCTTAAGGAAAAAGAAATCACAAAATTATTTTGAGATCATCTTAATTCTAAACTAAAACTTTCAAGCGTAATCTTTCTGTTTCTCTCCAGAACCTGGCTTCTTTTCTGATACCATGATGCTGCTCAAACCTAGTCACAGACTCCTGTGCCAGTCTTCCATTTCTATAGTATGCTCCAGTTTTATCACAAAGTGATCTCACCCAGTGGTTTCATGTAGATGTAGAGGCAGCACTGAACTCTATGACACTCTGCAAATCAGGGGCTGCAACCTGCCTCTCCCACTCCCTATATACAACCTATAGCAAGGAGAAAGGCAATCCTGCTTACTCCTATAACCACAGTTAAGAGCATGGATTTTCTTCATAGACATGTCATGTTATGTTAATGCATGCTTTTGTACTTTATTTTAGTAGAATGAAGTAGCTCTGAGGAGCAATATCCTTCAAGTTCTAATAAGTTAGCACATCATTTCTGTTCTGTACTGAGGGACATACCATGAGGCAAGGTAACTCCAGCACCATCAATAATGGCTTGTGCTAGACCATGATCATTTGCCTCCACAGCATAGGCAGCAGCCTTGAGTGCATCCCAAATCTCCTTGCGTCCCTCAAAGGCAGGGGCTGTGTCCCAAAATTCATCCCGCTTGCTTCTTAGTTGCCCATCCGTCATTGGGTAATCACTCTTCCATTTGGGGCGATCCTTTTTTAGAGGTTCATTCCGACCTGCAAAGAGATAGGGACATTTTAAAACAGGAAACTTCAAAACCTCTAACTACATCTTACAACCACTGCTTCATCTTTTTACATCAAATGCTGGCAAGTTGCATCATTCCTTGAGGCTGTGACAGCTTTTCCTAGTTAATTAATCACTACTTTATCAGAGATAGGATTAATTAAACCCTGACTAATATTTTTCATATATATGTGATCACAAACTCCTTATATGAACAAAGAAAGCCTTAATATTTTTAAGTCTTCCCATGTTTTAATCTGAGCATACCAATTTTTCCTCAACTCCCATCTCTATATAAATCCTACAAACTTCAGCTTACATTTTTAAAATTCTGCTAAAATAACTGTTTCTGCTTTTTTCTTTCTTAGCTGCGTCATCCAAAAACTGAACAGTTTAATAGAGGAACAACTAATAGAAAACAGAATGCTACACATTCTGAGAAAGATGAGATCATCACTGAACTGAGAAGCACTATGAGTGACAATATTTGCCTTTGTTGCTTAAAGCAATGAATGCAGCATACATCATTTTTCTAGCAATTATAGCATCTGACGTTACTAAAAACACTGCAAAGGAAAAATTAAACCAGCCTTCTCCTATCCTGTACTTTCCACGTCTGCTGGATTCCCCCCCTCCCTTTAATTCTCATCCAATATTATGGGGCTCACGGTAGTTAAAATCCAACACATGTGGGAGACATCAAGTTGGAGAAATCAGGACTAAATTTTCTGTACGATTCTGTTAAAAAGAAGAGCTGTGATAAGAACAAACTCAGTGACATTTAAATAGGACATGATATCCTCCAATCTAGATCATCCAAACAGATTGGGGTGGGGGAGGCAATCTGGATATTGTGATCCCAATCCATCTAAATTAAGACACCATTAATTTAAGTAAGACTACATGAAATACTTAGCTCAAGAAAGACTGAATAATGCGTACATGGATATGAACAAAATAGTTAAGACAGATGTGGACACACTTTAGAGTTATAACATCATTTTTTTCATTAAAAAACCCCCACCAGAACACTGAAATCTACTACTTACAGGCAGACAAAAACAAACAAACAAAAACACCAGGGGCTCATAGGTAGAATCAGTTATTTACTGCAGTTCAACCATGTTGATGTATGTGTGTGTGTGTTGTGTGTGTGTGTGTGTGTGTGTGTGTGTGTGTGTGTGTGTGTGAATTAATATTTTCAGGAATGGGAATTCTTTTAACATTACACAAAATCCTGGTCAAAAGTAATAAATAAATATCCTATTTCAGAGACTGAGATTGCGAGACTGAAGTAAAAAATAAATGCCAGGGTCAACAGGATTTAAAAGCAGAAGGCTATGTGTTCAAAAAAGAAGGTGCTACTCACATTCCTTGCTCAGTGAAAGAGAACTAGATGGTGAAAACTAACAGTTCAGATATGAAAAGTGCAATTACTGAGAAAAGGATAAAAAATTCACTGTTCTGTATAGAATACTGAAAGACAGCCTTAAAAAGCCAAATCATGTGACAGTATCACTCAGGACAAGTCATAAAGACACTCCTTAAGTCAACCCTAGTCTGGAATTATTTTTTAAGTTTCTTTTAAAATTAAAATTAATTTAAAATTAAATCTTTACAAAAAAAATTTTTTTTTGTCAGAATAGTTCCAAAGTGGCTCTTTTAGAACAATTCCACTTTAGCAGCAATTTCCTTTTAGGTGGTAATTGCCAAACCTTTAAAATTTCAGCTGGCAGAATTTCTAGCCAGTGGATGTTTCAAGGATGTTTTTTTTTCCCCCCCTGTTCAATCGTGCAATTTTCACAGGCTACCCGGACATGTCCCTGCAGTTTTCTAGGCAAGGCATTTCACAAGAGCTTTGCCATTGCCTCCTCTCAGCAAGGTTGAGAGAAAATGACCGGCCCCGAAGTCACTCAGCTGACTTTGTGCCTAAGGCAGGATTAGAACTCACCACGGACTCCTGGTTTCTAGCCTGGATGGTTTAATCACTACACCAAAATTTCAAGTTTAGCCTAATATAGAGAGAGGGCATTAGACTGGAGAAGTCCGGTTTATGAGGGACCGGGTGAAAATGGGTAGAGAAGGGATTGCTGCAGAGGGCAACTCGGCTGTAATTTAAGGGCATCATGGACACGAGAGAGTTGCTACAGCAGGGACGGGTTCGGCCGCTGCCTTTGCTTGCATTCCCTCTTTCTACCCCCCCACCCCCCCACCCGCCACCCTATCTCCTTGCTTGCTTCCACAGGCTGCTGTCTCTGTGATAAGAGAGAGGTTAACTGAATGGATTCAAGAATAGGGCATGTGATGCATGTCTTCCTTGACCTCTGTCTCCTCCTTGTCCTCTCACACAGGGCCCTTGTTCTTCCATGGCTGCTGTAGTGGGGGAGGGGCCCCCTGGTACAGCAATCGCTCTGAAGATTGCTAGCTACGGAGGCCAGGGATGCAATGACAGCCAGCTGCAAACAGAGGGAAAAACCAAAGGCTTCCTGTTGCCTGCAGTTTAGAACGCCTTTCCAAACAAACATACCTATTATCTCCAGAGGGAGATGAAAAAAAGAGGCCTAACTAGGATCAAATGCCTAACACTCTATGGAGCCCAAGTGATCAGAGATGCCCTAGCATATTCTTCAGAATTTTTCATTCTCAACTGGAAGCAGCCTGAGAACAGTCCTCAAGAAGCAAGTATTTTAGCGCTTGTTCTTTGATACAATTTTTATTAAATATTTTTTTAAATAAAGGATCTAAACTAATATAAAGTATAAAAATATAAAGAAAGATAAGGATACTTAAAAGAAAAATCAAGGAGAAAACTAAAAGGTTAAACATGACCTCTTCGTTCAGCTAATCAATCCCCTTTGCCAGCCAAGGAAGGCATAAAATCTCAGAATCCAATGAGAACCCTTTCTTTTAAGGCTAGGAACAGCAGGACAGGAACTATTTTCCCCAGGATTTATGCTGGAGCAGAAACAGTTAAGGTTCCTTGAAGGGTAGCTCCAATGAAAATTGGGCCTCGGCATGTTTGCTAATAGATTCACAAAAAAAGAAACAAACCTGATGAATTTCCAAGTCATGTGCTTATTTATCCATGTCATTTGGCTGGTAAGCCAGGAAGGGGAAGGCATGTAGAAAACATTAAGTTATGGGGGCAATGGCTTGGTTCACTCTAAGGCATCATCACCGATATCCCCAGCTGTCATCAACATATTCCTAGTTGCCAAGTACCTTACTATACTGTTTATCATCTTGCAATGCTCAACCTCTAAGACAGGATCAAACGTTAGAGAGATAGTGCAGGAAGACACTGATCTGATTAATTCTGATCTGATCAACCCCCAACTAACTGCAGTCAGTGGAAATTCTGCAAGGATATAAATAATTAGCAGTGTCTTCAGTTTCACGGAAGCCATGAGAGAACTATGTTCTCCCTCCCTTACAATATCCACAAATCCCAAACAGTCTATAGTTAAAAGCTTTGCTTACAAACATCGGGCCAGTAAAATCACATGATGTTGGGCGAATAATTGCACTTCATTGCTGCAAAACAGAGAGTCATCAAACTGACTCAGGGAATTAGGGGGTAGTGCTGACCACTAAGCTCCTGGGATTTGATATAAGGGCAGTTAGCTTTTCTGACCTGGGTGTGCATACACAAAGAAGCGCTTGGGGCAAGAATGCCAGAGACCAAATTTCAAAGACAGCAATTCTTGCACAGAACTCATTGGAACAGACACTAACTTGCACTTCCAATGGGATGGGCAGGATACCTCCTTACCCTGCCCATCCCATTACCCACTCACTTTATTTATTTTATTTATTTATTTTATTTTTATTTATTTATTTTTGTCAGTTGCTTACAAGATAATAGGTATAAGTAAATATATATATATGAATACATGGACACATATAAGAAAAAGAAAACAAAAAACAAAAAAACAATAGGACAGGGACGGTAGGCACGTTGGTGTGCTTATGCACACCCCCACAGACCTCTTAGGAAAGGGGTGAGGTCAATAGTAGACAGTCTAAGGTTAAAGTTTTATGGGGTTTGGGGAAGAAACCACAGAGTCAGGTAGAGTATTCCAGATATTGACCACTCTTGCTGAAGTCGTATTTCTTGCAATCAAGTTTGGTGCGATTAACTTTGAGTTTGTATCGTTTGCTCGTGTTGTTATGGTTGAAGCTGAAGTATTCATTGACAGGTAGGGCATTGCAATGTATGATTTTATATACTTTACTTAGATCGGACCGAAGGCGGCGTAGTTCTAGATTTTCTAGGTCTAGAATTTCGAGTCTGGTGGCGTAAGGTATTCTGCAACGAGTAGAGGAGTGGAGAACTCTTCTTGTGAAATATTTCTGGACTTTCTCAACTGGGTTAATATCAGATACGTAATGTGGGTTCCAGACTGATGAGCTGTATTCGAGTATTGGTCTAGCAAATGTTTTGTATGCTCTAGTTAGTAGTGTAATATTACCAGAGAAAAAGCTACGTAAGATTAGGTTAACAACTCTTAACGCCTTTTTGGCTATGTAGTTACAGTGGGCTCTAGCACTTAGGTCATTAGAGATGAGTACTCCAAGATCCTTGACAGAGTTTGCATCATCAACAAGGTCTTGACTATTCAGCCCTGTCTTGACTATTTTATTTTCTGATTTTTTTTTTTGCCAATATGTAGGACAGAGCATTTATTTGTTGAGATTTGAAGTTACCATTTGTTTGACCATTTTGATACATAGTCAAGGTCTTTTTGAAGGGTAGCAGTATTGTCTGTGGTGTTGAATAGCTTTACATCACCAGCGAAGAGAATGCAGTTGCTCTTGATATGATCACAGAGGTCATTTATGTAGAGTATGAAAAGAGTTGGTCCTAGAACACTGCCTTGGGGGACACCACTGTTGACAGGTACAGAATTTAATAGGACACTCCCAATTTTGACCATTTGTTGTCTGTTTGACAGGAATGCTTCTATTCAGTTATGCAGGTGTCCAGAGA